CATCGTGTGTGTGTGTGTGTGTGTGTGTGTGTGTGTGTGTGTGTGTGTGTGTGTGTGTGTGTGTGTGTGTGTGTGTGTGTGTGTGTGTGTGTGTGTCAGCTGATGGAGAATGCAGCCCACACGTTTGGGCAGCTGCTCAACAAAGCGGTCCAGGACAACCTTGACAACCCCGGCTCTGCCATCGACAAGGCCAAACACAGAGTGCTCAAGGTCAGAAAGCATGGTTAATGCAGGAACTGGATTCATTCTGAATCATTTTAGTTTGTATTGACAGTTTTAAAAGAGATTCTGGATTCCTAGGGGTTTATAGTTCTGCACTACAGAATACATTTACAATGAACGCCCACTTGTTTATCGATATGTCTTCATGGGACAAACTTCATGTATTGACATTGGTGTTGGAATGCAATCATACCTCGGGGAAACCTAAAACTTAAAACAAAAAAGGCCTTACCGACAGGAAGTGACAAGTCCCTTCTCTCCTGTGTGTCCTGCAGCAATATGACCATGACAGCAGCACGGTGAGGAAGAGGATCTCCAGGGAGGCTCTCGTCTCCATCACTCTGCCCTACATCAAGAAGAACCTGGCCCCCACCTGCAAAACTGTGAGTCTCGGCTACACACAGCTATGATGAAGAGTGTCATTCAACATCTACATAGTTTCAGAGCATGACTTGTGTATGCGTTTCTGTACAGGAGCTTCAGAGTCTCGAGCAGACCATCGACGGTGACCACTCCAACTACATCCATGTCGAGAATGTTTACGAGATCATCCTCCTGCAAACTCTGGACAAGGAGGTCACTAAAGGTATGTTAAACTGCTGATGATATACCAACACTTTCTTCACAGGCACACCTCTAATCCTCCCTGTTCTCTCCTGCAGTGGTGAAAGAGGCAGCTAGCCTGAAGAAGTACAACCTGTTCACAGACAGCAGAGACCTCCTCAGTCAGTCCAGCCGCTCCAGCCTCTCCTCCCCCTCGCCGGCCGCCTCCACTCCCAACAGCCCCGCCATGATGCTCGCCTCCCCCATCAGAACTTCCTCTGAGCCCCCACCCCTCTCTCCTCTTGCTGTCAATGATCTGTCATTGAGCCCCAAGAAGGAAGAGAAGATGGATAACGGTGTGCTGCCAAGCAAAGCCTCGACGGATGTGACCGCCATTGAGACACCTCTGGGGAAGGTGGAAGAAAAAGATGCAGCTCCAACTGTCAGTGAGGAGGCAACACCAACCAAAGCAGAAGAAGTCGTCCAAGCCGTGAAGGAAGAAGAAGGCCTCCCTGTTTCACTGGAGACACCAGAGGTAACAGATACAGCTAAAAAGAGTGAGACCCAGGAAGTGAATGTAGAAGTGGCACCTGAGACAGTGATCCAAGATAATGTGTTTGCTGTAGAAACAAAAGCAGTGGAGGTGGCTGCTGAGCCTCAGATGCAGACCACAGCAGCTCCAAAAGAGACAGAAATCACTTTGTCCGAAGTGCCCACTGTTGTAGAAAGTCAAAAGAAAGAAGAAGCAGCATCAGCATCTACAGAAGCTCCTGTACCAAGTCTTGATTCTTCTATTGAGCCAGAAAAAGCTCCTGTACTAAGTCTTGATTCTTCTATTGAGCCAGAAAAAGCTCCTGTACCAAGTCTTGATTCTTCTATTGAGCCAGAAAAAGCTCCTGTACCAAGTCCTGATTCTTCTAATGAAACAGAAAACGCTCCTGTACCAAGTTCTGAAAAAATGATTGAACCAGAAAATGCTCCTTTACCAAGTCCTACCATTGAACCAGAAAACACTTCAGCAGAAGAAGCTGCTTGCCAAACGTTAGCCAGCAGTGAAGAGGAGTCACACTGTGTAAGCTCAGAAATCAAGTTGGAGGCTCCCTCTAGTGGTGAAACGCATGCACTCACACCTGAAGACATCAGCCTGGACCTGAAGAGACGGGAAGAAGAGACAGTTACTGTCTCTAACCCTAATTCTCTGGATGTGTCAGTGGGAAGTGAGTCTGCCCCGTCCGATGTGGAGTCCATGGAGGAAGGGAGAACAACGCAGAGCAGTGGGGACGAAGTCTCAACGACCTCGGACGTCTTGGTTGAGGCCAACATGAGTAATTCACCCGTCAGCTCAGACGAGCAGCCTGAGGACAAGATAACAGTCGATGATCCGTGTCGTGAGGAACAGACAGAAGCTGTGAGTGAGGACATTGAGGCAGGTACGAACGTGGAGCTGCTGGTGGAGGCAGAAGAGTCTACAACCTCTCAGCCAGATGAGTCTACACCCTCTCAGCCTCCCGAGCCCACAGAAGCAGAAACTTCCTCCAGCCCTGAAGCAAGGCCCATTGATAGCGTCAAGGCAATCCGTGACCTGGTGATGGAGGTGATTGAGGTGGAGGAGCTGGTGAAGCGTTACCCAAGTGGAGTTCCAACAGAGGAGGAATGAAGCATCACAACTGCATCACTGTGCTTTCGACAAGACGAGACAAAAATAATTAGGAGTCTTCTGCTAAAGGGAACCAAATTATTTCAAGAATCATTACATACGGTAATACGGTAGCCTCAAACAGACCTGGAGTCAAAATGTTTGTTCACAGAGCAGAAACAGGAAAATACTCCTGAAAAACATTCACAAATGCTTCCATTAACTCTTTTTTTTAAAGCCCATATGCATGAAATTGTGGTTAATTATTTATACAACTAATTTACACAAATCAATATAATCAGCTCTTTCAGGTGTATAACATCATCAAGTTTCTGTCTCTCACAGACTTAGCACCGACTTCTTTAGAGAAACTAGATTTAGAACTATTTTACCAAGATTGTGAAGAATTTATGTCATTATGCTGTGGTAGATTATGAATTTACTTTGGAATAAAGTGTGTAAGGATGTTCTACAATGTCAGAGTTGGGAGGTGAAGATAGATAGCAGTCTGATATCTATATATGCTTGAGTCAGGGCATGGTTATCCTAGCTTAGCATAAAGACTGAAAGCACAGGGAAACAACTAGCTGGGCTTTAACCAAAGTTTAAAATGACATCTAGCAAAGCTTCAGAAGCTTATCCATTAACATGTCTTACCTTTTTTTAATTTCAAGACCAACAGAAATGTTAAACAATTGGCTTTGAACTAAAGACTTCATCAGAGTTGTTATGCTAAGCTAGGGTAAACTTCATGACTCCAGTTATGCAAGACACAAGATTGTTTACTGTCTGAACAGCTAACTTTGGGGGGAAAAGCAATGTTGAACTATTCCTCTAAACAGACTACAAGAGAACCTTCACACTATTGTTGTTAAATCAGTGAGTTTCACATTATTTAGAAACCAAGATAACAGATATGTTTAATATATTAGCACAAATAAATAAATATCATTCCCAAATTGATTTTAAAGCTGTAGATTTGGGCCATTGTTTTCTCTTAAATGTGCTTTATTTTGGACCTACTAAAGGACTTTGAACTTACAAAGAAACTGAAGAAGTAGCGTATTCAAGTGCCTCTACATTACCTCTGTGTTGCCGTCACATGCCTTACGTCACATGAAGGAAAGCAGCTTCTGTCAGTTGGATGCAGCTGCAGTACAGACGGGTCCTAGTTTGAACACCTGTGCCTTTTTAACCTGTGCAGAGCATCTTACACAGATATGGTTAGTAGGAAAGTTTACAGTGAGAGTAAACCATATGACCTTTTACTGTAAATCAGATGAATGTTGGTTAATGACAAATGTGTGTGGAAATGTATAAATAATAAAAAGATTCTATTAAACAAACGTACCTTGAAATCATTTGTGTGATCGCTCCATTTCTGGCTTATACACAAACAAACTATAAATTATTTTTATTTGCCAATAAAACAAACAGCTTCACGCTTTAAATATTTATTTACGATGCACAACTTTTTTCTTTTAAACAATCACAGACACTGCGCTGAGAAATATCAAAAAGCTGTAATCCAACATCTGTGACGGATTACATTCTAATACGGGTTGACTACAATAATATGCCTTCCATTCATTTGATATATTGCAACATAGAAACATTTTTTTCTCATATTTTCGCGGGCCACCAGCATCAGGGACAAGATAAAGAGTGAATATAAATTATTTAAGATTTGTTCATATTTAGACACATATTTCAATATAAGACATTAAAGGCTGTTTACATTTCTTCTTCAATTACATTCACAGAAATAGAGATAAATGACACTTTAATACAGTGCCTGGACCTTTTCTTTCTTTTTTTCAGTGTACTGCAGAGCTTCCAGTGAGAGACTGTGTGCAAAAACAAGAAAATACTTAATTTTTCGTAATATTTTTCCAGGCCGTTTCTTAAAGGGAAATGTGTAGTTTGGTTTTTATTATACAGACAATCTGAGACATTTGAGTTTACTTAGTTGAGTTAAGGTTTTAAATGCTGGTGTATTGGTAACTTATAACTCCAGCAATTTCAACTACTTGTTTAATGTGTTAGTCAATGGTTCCCGACTAAAGGGCTGCAATGCTTTGTCAATTAACAACTAATACAAATGGCTAATCAAATTGATGATCAGTTAAAAAAGAAAATGATTTTGCAAGAATGGAAGCAAATGCTGTCTTTTGAAATATGTAGATGCTTTTGATCTTTATTTTTGTATACTGTATTAATGAAAAATAAAATGATAAGGCTTTGACACACAGCATGTGTGCTTGAATCACTTAAGAAACATTACAATTATATTTTAAAAAATGTCTGAATAAAAGTAAAATGAAATCTAAGACTGCCTGCCATAGACAGGATTGTTTTCAGAAGTTTTAAGTTAGTAAGACGACAAATATGTCTATTTATTGGGCACATACTTTCAGAGATTTAAGGACGTTGCGGGTGAGATACTTGTTTAAAAGTGATTGCTTTTTGGTGCTTTAAAATAAACAAAATGACACTTTGTTCAAAAAAATGCAGATTGTTCACCTCATTAATAGACTGACTTATTGTTAAGACGACAGTGAAAACTTGTAGAACGCTGTGAGGTGCAGAAACAATAGATATGTGGTTACTATTCCTCCACAGTAGACGCATCTTTAGTAGCACACATTCAATGTCAGAGACATATGCACAGTATTTATGAGTGACAGGTTCCAGGTTTTTACCGGGAGGCATTGTTGTAGTTGAAGAAAAACTGTTCTTCGGGCTGGAAGCCGTAGCCGCTAACTGGTTGATCTGCTGGGACAAACTGCTCCGACACGCTGACAGGGCAGAAGAGGGAAGAGACGGGGACAATTATTACAATCTCAAATATAGTGAGACCGAATGAAAAACACAGAGATGGCAGTATCTTTATTACATAACTCTCAATATATAAAACAATATTTGATATGGTTAGGACAGATACTAATACTACTTAAAGAGACATGAAACCAGGCAATCTTTCAAAATCATGGGTTGTAGAATGTTTTAGGAGTGGCTCAGGGGAACGTATTACAATAGTTTAAAGATCACTTAAGACACAATTTGTTCAGAAGAAGTCGTGAAAGAGGAAGAGTTTGAAACTAATAAATAAGAACTTCATTGATGTATCTCCATGAAAGCAAATCCCTGCAGCAGGTTTAACATTTGCTGGGAAGACAGAAAGCAGAAAGCACCAGCAGCACCACCAGGTGGAGCTCTGACACTAGCCAACTCTCTGTAAACCCCTGGCTCTCAGGACCAACCCAATCACTCAGCCATTGGTGAAAAGAAACATCTCGTAAAAAAGTGAATGTAATATTCATCTGCCCTGGTGCAGGTGTTGGACATCCACAATGAGTGTGTGAGTTACAGACTGCTAATGGCTGGAGGGGTAAACAGTAGAGTTGCCAAGCCATAAAGAAATGTAAAGATGTCAAAACACTGCGCTGTGACGAGGAAGGAGGCTGACGACCAGACCTGGAGGACCTGGCTGCCCTCCACCCGGCAAACTGGGGCCGGTTTAGGGGGATGATAAAAGGCCTGTATCTACACCGTATAAATCAGTTACTATGGGGATGTGGATACAGAAGGAGGGGGCCCATTTCACGCTCCATCTTCTGACCAGCTGCTGGAAGTTTTGAGTCTGGTGATGGGGTCACAGCAACGTAAGGAGCACTTGATGGATAAACTGTGCTCTGATGGATGACACCACATCTCACACGTCCATCCCCGTGTTTCTCTCCAAGTGTTTGCTGCGCAGCTCTTGGTCCTCTCCCGTACTTCTAAAATACGAGCTGTTTGCTTTGCCCCTGCAAGCGCCTATAATGACGTGTTGTTTTTAGCCAAATCACTTCCAGCGATCAGTTACACAGCTTGCAGCATATCCCCACCCACTCCCCTCCCCTCCTCTCCACCACTCTGTTTTGCCTTCCAACCACCATCTCCACTCCAGGCAGAAATATGTATTTTTTCCTCTCCGCACGCTACGGCTGTCAGGGGGGATTTGAGAGCCGCGCTAAAGGAGGCTGCAGGAACACTGGAGCTCTGAGTCACAGCATCCGCCCGCCCGCCCGGCTGGCCGGCCCGCGTGTCAGCCCCAGACACTGCCGATTGTCCGGTTACACCCCAGCCTGGACTTCCAGGAAATGTGCAGGACCTGTGTCAGTCCTGATGCTCAGCCATAGTTCAGGATCATTTAGAACAGGAAAGCTCTAAGGGTGAAAAAACACACTTAGAGCAAATCCAAATACATTCATGGTATTTTATCTGTCCAAGTACGGCTTGTTGTAAACAGGTAATAATCGTTTTTATTATGAATTAATTTAATTTCTTTTTTTTAGTGGGGACGGTGGATCATCAATTACATTTGTTTAACCACATTGTGACTATTCCACATTTTGGAACCTTAGTATTTTCTTTCTTATTTGCATATCATTTAAAACCTGTTAGATTTATCATTCATCTTTTCAGATGGGGTTGGACAGCCCGAGTGGGATTGATCGACAAATCATTAATTTTTATAATTATTTCTAATCGGTATTTCAACTTTTTTAACTTAATTTTAAGAAAAATGGTGTCATGTGTTTGTACTGGACAACATGATACAAAGGATTCAACATTATTTGCCTGGCAATGTATGCAAGGAATGTGTTTTTAGACATTTTACAGGTTGCATCTCCCAAAGCGTCAGGGATGGTCATCCATTAGCTCTGATTAAATCCAAAATTCTAATATAATTGCCTGTAATTATCCATACAGGCAGTTTGGGCAGACTACTGTTTTATGTTCCTATTATTCATTTTTTGGATTGGATGTTGGTCAGACTGTAGTTAAACATTCCAAAGCATTTTTGTTGTTTTTAGTATTTTGTAGAAATCTATATTCTTTTTTTTTAATTTATTTTTTAGAAATTTATTTTCTCAGAAAACATAACACTTAATTTAAACCTGCATGTACCCAAAACAATTATTTTTTGATATATAGAAATATTTGGTGATTGAAATCAAATCAATCAAATTATAAAAAATGTCATCTTTAGAACATTGTTCTCAATAAGGGTAGGAAACCAAATCTTAATATTGGTGTCAACAAAAGGCTCCGGTCTCCAGCTGCAGATGTGGATATAAAAACCCTGTAGCTGAGGAAATGAAATGTATCCAGCCGGTCTGGACACCAGAAACGACGCCTGACACGGCTCTGATATTTCTCATTATGAAACATGCAAATCAATCTGCCACCTCTTTCCCTTCATGTGTGCTGTGACACGCTGACAAAATGAGGAGAGGGTGGTTGGGGGTCATTGAGACAAGGGGCCCGGTGTTCCCACAAATGCCAGTGTGGCCCCCAGAGGAGCGGCTGCAGGACACGTCCCATCCCGCAGAGAACATTCCTTGGTAGTGAACAGGAAAGGGAATCAGGCCTTTCTCCTCCTTCTGTGTGACCCTTCCCCTCCCCCCTTGCGTCTGCCTCCTCCAGGGCCCCTGGCTGGGCTCCGCTTTGATCTCTCCCCGCTGTCACTGCTCAGATTACAGCTAAGCAACACGCCTGCCCCGGTAAGGAACCTGGTCTCGCCCCCGCCTTCCCTGCACCCTCCCATCGTATCTCCACGTCTCACCTGATTGTGACGGTGCTCACTTCCTTCAGATTTACCTCACTTCACTCCCTGCTGCTCCGTCACATCCTGACAGCCTCTCAAAGCACTCATTGATTCTCCGGTTGGCGTGCTCGTGTGCACAGTCGCACACTGCCTGTCTGTCTGACACCTCTCTAACACCAACTCATCTGTCCCCCTGTCCTTACAGTGTAAAATATTGAATTAGAGCAGGACTAAATACTTGAATTTTTTTCAGACATTTTGAAATATCACATCCGTTTTTAACACTTTTGATTAGGAGCTCTTTACTTTCATTAATAAGGACTAATTGCTTTTT